GGCTCTGTCAGCCGTCCATGGCTGCTCGGATCCTTTCCCCGCTTGGCCCCATACAAAATGGCGGCTCCTGGAGTAGCTGAGCACCCTGAACCAGGAAGCAATGGATTTCTTGCTTCTGCCTCAAACTCTCCAGCTGTAAGTCTTCCAACCTTCTAAATATTCCTTTATATGTGGTTCAGAGTACTGGGACCATTCCCTGAGCCTTCTTGGTCCTGTATTCTGTGTTGTTCTTGGCAGATCTCATCACTACACTTCCACCCGATCCGCTATCTTTTTCCAGAAGTCTCCTTGAACTTTTTGAAGTCTCCTCATATATGTCTCAATTTGCCAATCAGATTCCTGAGCTAGCACTGTTTGAAGAAAATTATTTGGTAAAAAGTGAATGCATTCCGAATTATTACTATATCTGCTACTATACAGATATAAGATTTTGGCAAAGTTGTTTTGCTCAGATCTTAGTTTCCCCATTAATGTACTAAAAGCTTTAGTTTAGGGCATCTCTAGATCCCTTCCAACTTTGCAATTGCTCAGGAGCATGATTCTCCACCATGGGTCTGCGTGCTATGACTCTGAGTGACATATAAACTGGGAGTATGTCTTACTATCACTCAAGGGAGGTTGGGCTCAAATTGTGAAGATGGTATAGGATCCGGAAGTGTTTTTTTGTTCTGTTGTGAATAGTGTCACAAACGGTTTGAACAAATTTGACAGCACCTAACAACAACAACAACAACAACAACAACAACAACAAGGGAGGCTGAAGGTGGACTTGCTTAAAGGAATCCACCCTAGAGAGATTATGGAGGGGATGTGGTGGTGAGAGGGGTCATCAACTTGGGGAGACAGGTAAAAATAGATAGATGGTATTTATTATGGAGAAACAGAAGTAAATAAAGGAACATAGGAGTTCCTTGTTGGTGCACATGGTTAATACAGTTGGCTCTTAATCAAAGTGTTGATAGTTCAAGTTCACCTGTAGGTGCCTTAGAGGAAAAGCCTGGTGATCTACTTCTGAAAAATATTGACTGTTGGAAATCCCATGGTACACAGCTGTATACCTTCACACATGTGGTTGCCATAAGTCTGAATTGAGAGCAGATAGTTTTAGAGGAAAACATCTTGGGAAGCCAGAGGGACCAGCTCATACTGAGCAGGCAGGTCTAGGCAGGAAGTAGCTGGATCCTGAGATGTTGGGACTCAGACCAGGAAACAGCAGAGAGAAGAAACAAATCCATGACACAAGGGCAGTATCTAGATTTGCTAAAACATTTGTACTTAGACTGTCCTTGTGAAAGATGACAAGTCAGAGACAGAGACAGAAAGAGACAGACAAATCTTAACAGAGATTACGTAAGTGCAACTCAGTCTTGCACATTTCTTCTGATCTTATTGTATCTTCTTATTTTTCTTGGACAACTGTGCTTTCTCCAGCCTTGGTAGAAGAAGAGAGAAGAGTCCTGGAGTTAGAGTGAAAGCTTAGTTTGGCATCTTCCCTCTAAGAGTCATCTCAGGGAGCCATCGGGCTTGCCCACCTTGCCCAGGCAGAACATCCCTGGTGCCTCTGGCAACTCGGGTGTTTGGTAAATACATGCTCCTCTGCATTTTCTTCTTGCTGAATCAGAAACTGTTCTGAAGGCTTGGCCAGAGCAGGTGAATCCTGCCTCATCCTGAGCTTAACACGGTACCTGGCACAGAGCAAGGGGCTCTTGTGTCTAAGTGAATCCTGTTTGCTGAATGCAAAAGGAAAATCACTTTCATGAGTTATGAATGGCCATTACTTGCCACCTGAAGTCTTCCAGCTCAGAACTTTGTTCCTCTCTCCCTAGAGAGGTGGTTTTTCATAACCATGACTGGCAAAATGACTGTCTCCTTCATTTAGTAGTTAGACAGTTGTTAAAATTAAGGGTGAAAATGAAGGATTGGAACTTGTGAAAGTATGTTAACTGTGAAAGTCTATTTCCCGCACCATCTTTCTTTAACTGACTGATCAGAATCAGAGCCCTTCTTGACAAAGATTCTTCTGAAACAAGGCCCATGAGTGAGCCAGGGCAAGGCCTTCTGTTGGGTGTTGTTGTTGTTAAGTACCTACCATCAAGTCAGTTCTGACTCATAGCAACCCTGTATAGGGTTTTCAAGGAGCAGCTGGTGTGTTTGAACTGTTGACCTTGTGGTTTGCAGTCTATTGCTGATCCTACAGCGCAACACCAGGAGTCTGTTGGGTGCAGTCACAGCTATGTCCCATCCCCAGGAACAATAGCACTCAATACATTTGACTCAAATCCTTTTATTTTTCTCTGGATAACATCATAAATCATATCCTTTTTCCTTTCTCTCATAGCACTCTTCTATCAGACCCTGAATGATTGTGTGTTTGTATTTTGGGAGAAGAGAGGAGAGATTGAAGAGACTAGAGTTGTTGGTTGAACTCAGGAAAGCTCTCTGCCTTCCTGCAACCCAGTCCAGATAATTAGGCCATCTTAGTGAACCCTTCTGCACCCTCTAAGTCCCACTTTTGACACTTCTGAGCACTATTGTACCCAAGGATATGAGAAACAAGGTGATTCCAAAGCATACTTCCTTCCCTGATAATTGTTCAGCAGCAGGAGGCTTGGGCTGGAGATGAGGAGAGTGGGACAGCTAACCCAAGCTTCATTCCAATTCGTCTATGTACCCAGTAATCAGCAAAAAGATTTAGTTATTGTAAAGACCCTCATTTGTGACCTCAACCATGTCCAACTCCTTTGTAGCAGTTTGGAAGCTTTTGCTTACAAGTAAACAAATACTCAAATGAAAGTGGCTTATTTATGCATTGATTTCCTAGGGGTGCTGTAACAAAAGACCACAAGCTTGTATAAGAACAGAAACTTCCTTTTTACATTTCTGGAGACTATGAATCCAAGACCAGGGTGTCAGCCCTGTTGGTTCCATCTGAGACTTTGAAGGACAATCTGTTCCATTCATCTATCTTAGTTTCTTGTAGCTCCAGGTATTCCTTAGCTTCTCTCCCTGTCCCTGTGCATCTTCTTCACTTTCATAAAGACACTGGTTATATGTAAGATTAGGGCCCACCATGCTTCAGTATGACTGCATATTAATACAATTGTTATCGTTGGCAAAGTCCCTGTTTTCAAACAGGCTTATATTCACAGATACACGTGTTAGGACTTCAACATATATTTTTTTTGGAGAAACAATTCAACACATAACAACATTAAAAAAAAAAAAGACATTTAATAATCTCATATAACAAGAATTTTTATGTCGGTGGTACCAGGATAGGCTTAGGGGTTCAAGTTTGTCTTATTGGACCCAGGTTCTTTTTATCCTTTGATTCCATCCATGGAATAAGTTGGACTTTCTGTTTCATTGCCACTAATTAGCAGCTTCAGGACCACACATCATATTCCATAGTCATATTCACAGGCTGGGAGCATAGATGTGGTCAAGGCAGTAAAAAACCTCTCCTTAGGATTGCATCTTTCTCTTTCCTGAATCCAGGAGGATTCCAGGAGTCCCTGACCCTAGCAGCCTACCCCTTAGCAGTGGTGTACTTGGCCAGCTTGTACATGCTCATAAGATCAGATTATTACATTTTCAGCAGTTCTGTGAGCTGACTGATAAAAACAGCCTCCTGTGTTTGGTGGGAGTATTTACATTAGTGATGGTGACAATTCTAACTCATAGTGACCTCATATTGGGTTTTCAAGGAATAGCTGGTGGGTTTGAACCACCGACCTTGCACCTAGCAGTCTAGTACTTATTCTACAGTGTCACACCAGGACCCCTAAATCTTTACGAGAGCAGAAAGCCTAACTAATCTTTCTCCCACAGAGTGGCTGGTGGATTTGAACTGCTGACCTTGTGGTTAGCAGCCCGATGAGTAACCTACTGTGCTACCAGGCTGTATGGAGAGTGACAAATACTGTAACTCAGAGTTGTTTTCCCTAGAGAGCAGTTTACCCGTACACTGTTGCCCTTATTAATCAGAACTGGAGAGTATGGCCAACTCTAGCTTAGAAAGTGATTATCTGTCATTTTCAGCCTCCCTCAAAGGGAGATCGTCTTTTCTGGAAAGGAATTAAGGGGAAGAAAGTGGAAGTTGGGAAGCAACTAATAGTGTTTGCCACTAATGGTTATCAATATTGGAAACGTCCTATAGTCACATAAAAGAATGTCTTTAATATGTTTCTGAAAGTAGAGTGCTATCTGCCTAGTGGTAAAATGGACCGAGCTTTAGCAGTTGGTTTAGGGTATTGAGTAGGGTCCCAAGAGCAGATTGAACCATACAAAGGGGTCCTGGTGTGGATGTGGCCCCAGTTCCATCCTGTGACCACAAGTGGGGCTGTGCTGACACAGAGACAGTGAATAGCTGTTGTATATGAGGCTAGAATGAGATGATGAGAGGAAGGAAGGAAACCTGAGGGGCTGGAAGAGGGGCAGGGAGGTCTTAGAGGGTAGTAGAAGTGTTCCCTGAAGATGAACCGATAAATGAAGGTCTGCCATCCTTGGCCAAGAAGTCCTTGCTAATCAGTCCATGGGTAGCCATGATCCTGAGGAGTCCATGTCGAAACTTCTGGCCAATGAAGGCATAGATGAGGGGGTTGAGGCAACTATGGAGGAAGCCCAGAATCTCGGTGGCATCCAGGGCCTGGTCAATGTCCTTGCGGCGATCACAAGTTTCCTTGATCAGCCCAGTCCTCATAAGGGTGTCTGTGAGCAGAACCAGATTGTAGGGCAGCCAGCAGAGCAGGAAGATTAACACAACAGCAAAGATGACTCGCATAGCCCTGTGCTTCTGCCCCATGTGGGCCTCAAACAGTGTGCGCAGGGTGAATCCATAGCAGAACAGCATGACCAGCAGTGGTATGATGAAGCCAAAGGTCTGGGGCAGGATCCGGAGCACCATTCTCCATTTTGTTGTATTGTTACCAAAGTCCTCATAGCAGACTGGGCTGGATTCGGGTGGATTATAAGCCTTCCGGAACAGGAAAAATGGCATGGACAGAAACAGAGACAATCCCCAGATGCCCATACATATGAACTTGACCAAGTGGCGCTTCTGGATCAGAGTGCGTGTGGCATGGACGATGGCCAGGTAGCGATCCACGCTGATGGAGGCCAGCAGTAGGATACCACTGTAGAAGTTGACTTCTTTCAGGAGCGAGACCACCTTGCATAGGGGTGTGCCAAGTGTCCAGCCATTTTTCTTGGAAGCTGCCCAGATGGGTAGAGTCAGGGCAAAGAGCAGGTCAGCCATGGCCAGGTTCAGCAGGTAGATATCTGTGACAGAGCTGCTGACCCGGTTGTATAAGATGACCAGCATCACCAGGGAATTTCCCAGCAGGCTCAACAGAAACACCAGGGTGTAGATGGTGATCACAATGTGCTTGTTGATTTCAAATGATTCTGGCCAGCATGGGGCAGTTTCTGATGGAAATTCTGGCATGGCTGTGTTGTAACTGAAATTACCAAACTCTTCACTCCATTTTTTCCAGTTGTCATTTCTGAAGCTATTGTATTCCATTTCTGATGTAAACTTAATTCCTGGCCTATAGAAGAGAGATGAATTTTACTACACAGTAAAGTCCCTTTCAGATTTTAGACCTTTCTCTGACCAAGAATCTGGGTTAATTTGTCTTTAATTGCATATTTCATGGAAGTAACTTTTACTGCACATGTGTGAATAGTAACGGCTCTAGAGTATGAGGCAAATTTAATGATACACAGCACATTCTACCACTGGCCATGGTTTCCTTTAAAGACCAAGAGTCTTAGCATTTTTTCCTGATATCACTGTCATCCAAAATATTATTGAACCTTCTCTTTGGATAACCCCTACAGAATATGTTGTGTCAGATCACTCAGTGGTGTATACCCATGGGTATTGAGACTGAATAAAATCATGTTTATTTGTATTTTTAACCTTTTTCTGGTATAGCCAGCAAGGTTTAATGTATATTGACTATAATGGAAGCAGAGAGATTGCCTCCTGAAGTTCACATTTAGAAACATACAAGACCTTTAAGGAGGTAATCCTTAGGAAAAGATCAAACTGAGAGATTAATTCTTTTGTCCTATTTTTTAAAAGTTACTTTAAAAGATGTGTTCTGGAATCAATTTAGGGGCAGGACAGCACTGAGTTTCAGAATGTTTGGGCCAGAAGAAACCTCAGTCAGTTAATATGACCAGAGCTTCTTTATCAGGAAGGAAGAGGCTCGTTCTGAGGGTATTTGTGTACTTAAAAAAATGTACATATTAAAAAATATCAGCAGGTGGATGGTGGACTGACTCTTCAGGCAGGTGAAATGTCCCGCGTCATCTGGGCAGCTCTGAGCAGTCACATTTTGCCATGCTTTGGGGAGCAGAGAAAGCTAATGTGCCCCTAGAATATGGCAGAGGGCCAGCCGGAAGCAGGGCGAATAGGTGGAGACACTACCTTTCTTAAAGGCCTTCCATCCCTGATGGTGATCATACGTGTCCTGCCAGTGTGTGCCTTGATGCCTTTCTGATCTCCCTCAATGATTACACACAGACTCTCTTAGCCTCAGTTGACTGGAGCGAAAACTCAGCAAGCAGCCTGCAGTCACCAGGCCAATAAGTGGAAGGGCCAGGATTCAGCCTAGGCATCAGTGACTCCACATGGCAGATTGTTTTGTGTCTACAACTCTACTTCTTAAAAAAAAATTATATTAAGTCAATCTATAGTCCCGGTATAGTGCTTGCTGTGGGCTAATGTGTCAGAATGCAAAATCGTTTGAACTGCAAGGTCAGTGGTTCCAGCTCATCAGCTGCGCCTTGGGAACCCTATACAGGGTTGCTATGGGTCAAAATCAACTCGATAGCACTTAACAACAACAACAACAACAACAACAACATATATGTATATGTATATGGGTTAATACGCTGGACTGAGATGCCGGTTTAAACCACAAATTCTACGGTTCAAGCTCACCAACTGCTCCTCGGAAACCCTATATAGGGTGGCTGCATGTCAGAACAACAACAACAACAATAAATGTATATATATACACACTGAACTGCCATTAGTCAATTTAGTCTTATAGTGACCCCATAGATGGTTTCTGAGACTGTAAATCTTATGAGACCTGAAAGCCTCATTTTTCTGCCAAGGTGGTTTGAACTACCAACCTTTTGATTAGCAGTGCTTCTTCAGTGCCTCCATGGTGCCTTACCTGTATCCAGTCCACTCAATTACTTTAGGTTTTACACATTACTTTCTTTGGCTATCCTTAGGTTCAGAATTAAAGATTCCACCCTTGTAAGAATGATAAACCAAACACTTTTGAACTAGCTGGCTCCTACCGACTACCCACCATGTTTTTGGGGACCAATTAGGAGCTTTCCTGATTAAACAAGCCTGTCAGTCTCTTAGTGACATACAGTGTTGTTGTTAAGTGCTGTCGAGTCAGGGTTTCCAAGGATTGGCTGGTGAGTTTGAACCACTGACCTTGTAGTTCAGACTGACCCTTCAGTCCAGTGCTTTATCCCACAGTGCCACATCAAGACACACAGTAGTTTAGATGAATTCTAATTTCCTACATAAAAATACTATAGAATAGTATACAGGAATTCTCAGCATTATCTGCATTGTTGATTTGTTGTTAAGTGTCATCGAATCTATACCAAACCATAGAGACCATGTATAGGGTTTCTGAGGAGCAGCAGGTCAGCTTGAACTGCCGATCTCGTGGTTCAAACTGACTTTGCAACCCAGAGCATTAACCCAAAGCATCACACTAGGACTACAATATTTTCTGCATAGCTGTTCTGTAAACTCGAAAATGCTATAAAAATAAAGTCTAAAATAAAAACAAAACTATATATAGAACAGTGACATTGACAAAAATCTCAAACATTTAGGGCAATCTTTTTAATCAGAAGAGAACATTCAACCAGTCATTTCAGCCCCATTCTGATATTGTGTATACATACAATCCACAACTATTTGCAGTGATAATAGAGGAGGGCACTCAGCAGTCCCTGACCCATCCTCGGATCCTAACCAAAGCAGGCAGAGCTGGCTGAGACTAAAGGCTACAGAACCAAGACAAGGGAGGGGCTCCTAAGTGGTTGTTGATGTGGGGTCTAGTGAAGAGGACCAGAGGACCTAAAAAGTGAGAACAAAGAGACTGAGCTTGTGGGTGTGGGCCTAAGGGGGGGGGGCGGGGAAAGGTGCCTGGGGGGTCAAGACAGGATAGGTGTTAAAGGGAACAGAGAACAAAGACCACCTGGGGCAGTAGGAGGTGGTGGGTATCCCAAGACTTACCAGGATGCTGGGCTTTTCACCTGTATGACACATCCAGGAGGACAGCTATGACCGGTGAAAGGGCGGTGGTGCTGTGAAAACGGAGGGGAGGAAGTGAATGCTGGATTAGGTTGCTCAATTCAGGGGTGGAGTTCTGGAGGGTGCAGGGTTTCTTTTGATAACTTTGAATAATTAATTCCCAGGTCAACTCTTCGGTAGACACTGGTTTTATTTACTCAAGAGTTCATCTTGGGAAGGGACTGAGGCTTTTTCTAGGAATCCTCCTGTATCACAGATAAGGAAACTGAGGCACTGACGAAGGAAATGGTTGGCCCAGGAGTGAATCTATTTCTCTCATTTTGCCTTGCTCTTCACTGTGGCTTCTCTAGCTGACCTGACACTTCCCACTCAACTGCCTCAGGTTTTGCAATAGCAGTTTCTTTCAATGCTATCTTGACACATTTTTGAGGTCTGACAGTTTTGAGACCGTTTTGAATCTCTGTCTAAACAGCTGATTAAGTCCTCTCTCCAACCACGCCTCTTATCAGAGGCCAAGCACCCCTAAACCATTACACATTTGTCCTAATTGCCTTGGGTCAGGTACCTGGCAACTAGGGACAGCCCACTGAGCCTGTAGAATCATTCTAAGTGCCTAGTCCTCAAGAGGCCAAGACAACATAGCTAACCTCATCCTGTTTGCTGTCTATCAATAAGCCCTCTCCTACAAGTCCAGCTGGTTGTTACCTTGTCCTCAGGTCCCTTATTAAGCTAGATTTTCTTTACTTAAAAACTGGGACTGGATGTGAGGACCATGTTCTTCAGTGTTCAAAGTTCATCTAGAACTTTGAGTTTGAAAGGAAACCCTTGGTCAAAGTAAAAATCAAATCCATGTTCCAACATATTTTTGAAAACTGTTGGGCTATACTAACACTATATCTGATCACATTTGCTATTCATTTTAAATGAAAAGGAGCCCTGGTTACGAGCTTAGTTGTTAATGAAAAGATTGGAAATCTGAGCCCACCATGGGAGAAAGATGTGGCAGTCTGCTTCTGTAAAGACTGTTGTTCTTGTGTGCTGTTGAATCGGTTCCTACTCACAGCCACCCTGTATAGGGTTTCCGAGGAGTGGCTGGTGAGTTTGAACTGCTGACCTTGTGGGTCAAACTGACCTTGAGGTCAAGTGTTTATCCTATGACGCCACACCAGGACTCCTCTGTAAAGATTACAGCCTTGGAAAGCCTATGGGGTAGTCCTACCCTGTCCTGCAGGGTTGCTAATGAGTTTGAATCAACTCCAGGGCAATGGATTTTGAGAAATTCAGGGTAGAGCAAGTATGTGACAGGGACAGCAGTAATACACACTCATTTATCGCCACCTCCTTGTTGTTGTTAAGTGTTGTCAAGTCAGTTCTAGCTCATACTTAGACCCTGTATAGGGTTTCTGAGGAATTGCTGGTCAGTTTGAACTGTTGATCTTGTAGCTCAAAGTGACCTTGCAGTCCAGTGCATAATTCTATAGTGCCACACCAGGACTCCAAAATTGTGGTTGTTGTTGAGTGCTGTTGAGTCACTTCTAACTCATAGTGACCCTATATTGGGTTTCCGAGGAGTGGCTGGTGAGTTTGAACCACTGACCTTGTGGTTCAAACCGACTTTGAAGTCCAGTGCTTATCCTATGTCACCACACCAGGACTCCAAAAGTCTCATCTTTCTGCCATGAAGCAACTGTTGATTAGAACGTCTGACCTTACCGTTAGCAGCTCAACTTATAACCTAGCACGCCACCAAAGTTTCTTTAGCCTAATAATGCTTCGTTCCTGTCTACTATTCCTTACCATATCCTCTTGCTCACGGGGGAGTGCAGTGACTCCAATAGATAAACACTAGACTGTGACCCACAAGGTCACCTGTTCAAGTCCACCAGCTGCTATATGAGAGAAAGATGAGGCTTTCTCCTTCCCATGACCATTTAAAGCCTCAGAAACCTTATCCAGGGTCACTATGAGTAGAAACTGACTGGATGGCACACAGCCACAATAACATCCTCTTGCTCAAGGCATCCCAGGGCTCAGAGAGTCCTCCAAGCCTGTGGTAAACTCACTTAAGTCCCTAACCCAAGGAAAGAAACTTTGAGTCCAACTGTCTTGTGTCACCTGTCACTTTCCCTTGATGGGGAAGGATGCCATGACTCCTGGAAGTTGATGCTTAGACCAGAAGCTCATTGCACGGGAGAAGTAACTGAAAGAAGTGGCTGAAA